CTAGCACAAGGGACTTTCAAGACAAGATGTGCTGCGAAAGTTTAGAGTCCTCCAGCACGAGGGACCTATGTTACAAAGGCCAGTAGCCCTTTAACACTAGAGTACAAATCAAGGGTGCTGCGAAAGTTTAGAGTCCTCCAGCATAAGGGACCTATGTTACAAAGGCCCGTAGCCCTTTAACACTTGGGTACAAATCAAGGGTGCTACGAAAGTTTAGAGTCCTCCAGCATAAGGGACTTTCAAAACAAGGTGTGCTGCGAAAGTTTAGAGTCCTCCAGCACAAGGGACTTCCCGAGGAGGTCATTCAAACAAATATGATACGAGATACAAAACTAAGGACAATCATTCATGCTTAACAAATATCTTTCAAGACAAGCAAAGCAAAGTTCTTCAAAACATTGATAACATAACTTTATCAGAAATACCACTCACCTAGTTCTTCAAACGTCGGGTTCAAGGCAAGTCCAAGTCCTACAACACATGGCAAAGTCTATTGAATGCACTACTCAAAACAAGTCTAGCTTACATGCAAATGACCTCGGCATTCTTCAAAAACTAGGTCAATCAAATCGAGACACAGTTTCTTATCTTTGGAAAAACACCAAGCTGGGCAGCAACCAGGTCTAGGCCAAGGTCCCACACCTCCTCGCCGAGGTGTAGCCTCGATGGCCACATTAAAAAAGTGAAGTCGGGAAAAATCTGGGTTCCCCTCTTGACAAACACGAAGAACATGAGCATTAAGAACTTGAAGAACATGAACATGAGGAAGATGAATGCAAAGATCAAACTTGCTATACAAAAGCTGAGATTTCATGCTATAACTTCGAAAACGTGGACCTGGGTACCCACACTCAAGGATCTTATCAAAACAAACACAAATGCATGAGCTTCGATGCAAACTTTCGGATCAAACGAGGCTTTTCTTCAAAAACACATGAAAACCGTTTTCTCTTTCTAAAACCAACTTTAAATCGATGAATGGTGTGTAAAACAGGTTTGATCGTGCAATGCAGCTAGATAATGAATAAGAACAACAAGAATAGGTTAAGATTCTAACCTCAAAACTCGAATCTAACGGCTCAAGCTCTAACGATCAAGCTTGGAAGTCACCCTCACTAGGTCAAACTTCTCCTCCTTCTCACTAGAGTTTCTCTCTCTAAAAGGCAAGATTGACACAAAAATGATATGCTACACACGACAAACACTGACTTAGTCCCTCTGTCGAGACACGTGGCATCGGCCGATTTGCTCAACTTAAAAAGGTGACTGACTTGACAAGACAAGACCAAGACAAAGCGTACTCAGCAAGCTAGGCGGCACGAACACACTGGCAAGAAACGACATCGGCTAAAACAAGACTCCAGAAATCAAGGGGCAAGGACATCGGCTTGGAAGGACAACACTTGACTAAACTGTGCCACACCCTGGCCTAGGTGTGCCACACCTCGGTCTAGGTCATACCATTCCAGGAACAAAATCACTCATGCAAGGGTCAAGGATTTAGAACGCTTAGATATTAACATCTCGGCCCAGATGGTGCACATCTCGGCCTAGGCAACGCGCACCTCGGCCTAGATGGTGACATCTCGGCCAATATGCCAGGGCGAAGATGGAGGTCAACCAACGAGGTCCTAAGATAGTTCTAAGTGACAAAGGTCTCGATGGTGCCTAGGCTTAAGACGACCTCGGCAACACATCAGGCAAGAACAAAGTATGCAAGCAATCATTCAAGCAAAACAAGAGAAGATTGCAAATGCAAATGTTAACACAAGATCGTTCATAAATGTATGCCAGTATGGCCAAGTCAAAATGAGGGTTGTTACACCAGCACTTAGCGACGTTTTAAAAATGTTGTGATATCTTTTTTCAGTTTTAAAAATATAGCCGTTAACACCATACTATAGTGGCGTTTGAAAAACGCCGTTATAGCTTCATTTTTTTTTATTTTTTTAAATTGTGCTAATTCTGTGATTTTAAAAATAAACCGTTCTTTTTTTTTATATATAAAATGAACTCTAATTATTGATATACACATACTTAATGATGCATAAGCCCTCAAAAACACTTTGGCAAGTACAGTAACAAAAGGAAAATAGGCTTCAAACTGCAAACACAAATACCAAAAAAAAGAAAAAAATCAAATGTATTTATTTCAAGAGAACATACATAAAATATGGTGCAAGTAAATTCTGGTTGTGACACACAGCTTAGTTTTATTTGATTTAATCCTCTTCCCTATACAACTTACCAATACATCTCATAGCCATTCAAGAAGAACAAACAAAATTTCATGCCAATGTATTACACAGTAACCGATATTGTTTTTATGGAGAACCACCAGCTTTCGGTCCAGTAGGACGCATCTGCCTGCTTCTTGCCATCCTTCCACAGCTATTATATGGTCCTTTATCATTATTAGGAGGGGGGAAATCATGAAAATCATCCAAGTTAAAACCAAATCCATAGATTTACCTGTATGGTTGGCATTTTCTGCACAAGTTTTGGAGTCCCCCACATGCATGAAAAGGAATAACAAAGTGTCAATCACCATTCCTGCAAATTTATCAATCCAGTATGGTCAAAGAAGGAAAGGTCCAGCATGTTTACAACTAATTTCATCTGAGCATAATTAATTAGAAAGGAAATGTTATTTTTCCAGCATATATACTAACTAGAAATGTTCCCTCTCCTCCAACAACAGGAAACTATGAGCTCTATAAAAACATATTCCCTCACAGATAAAACTAATCATAACAACAACACAACAGCAGCATTAACTACACTCATAGAATTTACATTGAAGTGTCTACAAACATGCCAAAGGCCAAACAAAAAATAAAGAAAGACATGCCAAACACACCAGATCCTAGTGCAAGTGTTCTGCAACCACTCATGCGGAACCATAGAATGCTGCTTCGCCATTGCAAACCATTCTAATGATTATTTTGATATAAATTCTTGAATATCACCCAAATTTCTATCAAAATGAAAATGTTGTGTCTATCACTACCTAGTCCACCAAGCAAGTTTGTGCGCAACCCATTAATAGTAGGCAACAATGAAGGGTACAATAAAAACCATATATCAGGGCAAGTTAAGTACTCTGATCCATGCATCCAAAGGTAAAGAATTAGTCAGATTGTGTCACAAGCTCCTCCGATTCTTTTGTAGCACCTGTTACATAAAATACAAACCAATTAAAGCAACTTTTGTAAAGATAATAGATCATATTTATACTAGGATGATGTGCAGTTTCCAAGTCAATAAAACCTAGAACATAAGAATGAAAGCTCATTTAGACTATAACCTCCACATTATAATATAAGACTCTTGCAAAAATATGACAATGGTTATGAGAAGACACAAGTGCCCCATTAGAAAATAAAAGGAATGGGACAAAAAAAATAAAAATCTTTTTAACTTAAAAATTAAGGCAGAATTCACACTAACAACAACATTGCATTACATAGGAATAGACCCTAATTGTTAATGATGATAGTTTCATTTATAATGATATCTCTTGCAAGGTGTACCACCCACATAAGCCCCCAACTGAACAACCTAACTATCCCAATATTGAAGAAAAGGTTACGGAATGTGGTTGATGAAGTTAAGCAAAGCAAAAGGGCCATTATTCTGTTCATTGATGAGTTGCACACTCTAGGAGGAATCTATGTGCTAATTCCAGGAATAATAAAAAATTTAAAATCAAAAGAGAAATCGATATGCTAATTATGCAACTTATTGATAGTCAACCTATTGACAGTAAACCTATTCAAATAACCCAAGATAAGATTTGACCACGTAGTGAATAAATAGCCTCTCAACCATGCAGAGTTCTCCATCCGGAAGCTGTTTGACAGCTGGTTTGGATGTTTTTAATTGTCCAACAGCATCTCCTTTCTTATTGACACCCGATTTTACAGCCCCTCCTTTCTTACTAGCAGGCTGAGAAAACATATAAACCCAACAATAGAACACAAAGATGCAAAAAAATGTTATCTAACACAATATGCATAAAACAGGACATGCTAAGAAAAAAATTATAAGAAAATGCTCACAACAGCCCGAACAGGTTTCTTCCCACTAAGCATGCTTACTGCCGATTTTTTGACAAATGATCCTTCAGATGCCTGCAAAAAGATTAACGTGTACATCATATTGAAGCTAGATAAACATGTTGAAATGACTCCTTGGAGGCCTAAATTCATAAGATTTAAATTTCACATGCATTTATTCAAATATTAAATTGATTACTATGCCATGCTTCATTTTACCATCATGAAAATAGAATTGATGATACTACATGATGAAGATTTATAATCCATGAGATGAATCAAAAACCAAGGCATAGATCAAGGAAATGACACGAAGCACAAACTTTAAGGGTCTAGCAACTGAATATTGAGCCTAAGGCTTGCAACACCATGAAACATAAAATTTGCATTAAGCTTTGATTTTGTCTTCTCTCATATATAGCACTAATAGCACATTATATTTCTTTTCCCAAAAAAGAGACAAATTTTACTATGAAAACCGAAGGAATCTACCTTGACCATGGATAATAGTTCAGTTCAAGGCAACTCTGGCATCATGGTTAATAAATCAGGGTATGAGAATGGTGAGAGAGTCTAGTAGATTGAATCGTATCGGATCAAGAATCATAAGATTATACTTTTATAACAATGAAAAAAGGTAAAAATACCAACGAGGATGATGCATAATAAAGATGAGGTGAAAAATCACCAACCCAAAGATCCTAACTGCAATCCTACAAGATCCTACTTACAATCCAGCTATAATATACCAATTTTAAAAGGCAAGAATAAACTCACACCATTTAGGGTCATAAGATTCTACAAGCCTACAATCCAGATCGCAATTGTTATTATCATGTCAAGCATATACATGAGAACTCGAGTTTTAGGCCCTTGGAGCATTTGGATCCATTCTCATCCTTAAATGCACACATTAGATGGGTCCCTAGATCAACAAATAAGACAAAGTGCTTAGCAGCTGCTTTAGCATCCTTTATGTTCCTAATGCACTCCACTGCCTCCTGATTTGTCATTACCTGATACCAAAAGTCCAGTCTGTTCAGAGCATACATTACAGGGAAAAAGAGAAATATACACAAAAAAAAAACAAGTGCCAATAGTCTTGCAACAACTTTGGAGAAAAAAATTGTAATATACAAACTGTTGAAACTCGAAACTATGCCTCGCCAAAAGTCATTCTAGACATGCCATATATTCAAACTTCTGAAATCCATAAATTTTGCGAAGTACTGATCTATGACAGTAGCGTAAGCTAATGCCATATTTTCTGATTTGTACATAGAAGATTTTTTAAACTGGATAATTAAATGTTCTAATCCTCAGATTTGGATGCTTCTATCTTAAGATTCAAATAATAACTCTAAGCAAATTATTCACCCAAACAAAATAACTCTAAACAAATACAACGGGCACATTAATCAGTAAGATTGATGAAATAGCAATTAGTGCAAAAACGGCCAATTGGAAAGCAGTAGTCAATAGTCATTCTTTTCTATACACTTTTGCAACCTCCATTATATTTCCAATAACTTCTCTCCATTTATGTTTAATGCTTTAAGCAATTTATAAAGTAAACCATATGCATCCAACAAGCAAGAGGCATACTAAAATCTAGTTTTTTTTTTTTGGGTACAAAAACATTGGTATTATTAATATCTAAAAATTTGCTAGTCCAAGCAAATCATGTATTGTACTCTGAGAATAATTCATTCTCATATTGAATTGCAAAGTCATATGAAAAGGAGAGAAGACAACAAAAGCTATAAACAGAGAACAAAATTTAAAAGGAGAGAGGCGGATTAAAATGAAAAGATGAGGTTATGAACCATAGATATTGGTAAATGCAAAAGAGCAGAAGAACCAACCTTCCATATGCCATCACTTGCTAAGATGACAAACTCTGTATCTTCATCTACAATCTCCAAAGACACATCTGGTTCTGAACTGAGGTGTTTCTTCAAGCTTTTGTCACCAAATGCTCTTGCTACGGCCAACTGTCCAACTCGTGGAACATCACCTGAATTTAACACAATGATGTAATCGTAAGATGATCTAATCTTGACGTCAAGGTTAGCTAGGGGAAGAAACATGTTAAAATTAACATTATCATTATGCAAAAAGCTTATTACCAAAGCAAAGGAACATGTAGAAGTGGTTACTTTACTCAAAGTACCATTTACAATAATCCTTTGATAAGTACCAAGAATAATTTACATTTTGATCATTCAAAGCCAACATAGTCTGCCTTTTCCCCCTTGGACATCATGTAAACAAAAAGTCCTTTAAAAAAAAGTTTCCCTTCAGAACCATGGAAAACACCAACACGCTAATCAGACAAAAAGATAAGCTTAAAAAGTAAATACAAAAGAATAAAAAAACAAATCAACTAGAATAAGTTGACACTTATTATTATTATTACTTCTTTATGACAGTCCATCACTTTTCAATTTTCTTTCAGAAGTCTAGTTACCTGGAAAATTTGATACAAAACGACCTCTGTCCTCAATATATGTCCTTACCTTGCTAGGCTCATGATCCACTAACAATTGTTTGGCCACACCATTCTTGTAGGTGACAGCCCTTGAATCTCCAACATTAGCTACCACCAGCTTCTGACAATCAATTAAGATTGCTGTAACTGCAGTTGAACCCCTTTTACCCAACTCTAATGATTTGTCCAAAATAGAAGTATCAGTTGTGATCCAATAGAACAGAAGGACTCCACTAAAGTAAAGCTAATACCACATTAAATTCATAGATATTTTTTTTTTTAATTTTTATACTTCATTTTCAACATCCAACATAGGGAAAATGAAAAGAAAATCACACAAAATTGAAAAAATTGTAAAACTAACCAGTGGATTGATGTTAATGGTACCTTGCGATTAGCTTGCTGAAGCTGAGGCAGATGCAGAGGCAAGAGAGAGCGTCGCCGAAGCCATCTGAATCAGAAAAGACGATGAAACGATGAGATCAATTTGAAACACTTAAAATTAGTAAAAAAAATCAAGTAGTGATATTCGAGAGAAGTAGAACTTTGTTGAGTCTAAATTCGAATCGGTAATCGATGTAAAAAAACAAGAGTAAGAACACAAAAACAAACCTCAGAAGAGTAATGAAGTCGTGTTCAGATCTAGAAACAAAACAACCAAAAATAGAAAACCAACCCTGCCTTTCAAATAAAATTGATAATTCAAACAAAAACGAGAACAAAGCACTGTTTTCTTCGTAGATCTATAGATACACATACTTATGAGGCAGAGAGAGTGAGAGATGCACCACATCTACCAAAAAAAATTGAAGGAAATGATAGATCTGTTGTGAACGAAGCTTCAGATATCAAATCGGCCAAAAAAAAAAAATATGAAGAAGATGAAGAATCAAACCCATAGACTTCATGATCTCTGTGTGTGTGTGTGTGTGTGTGTGTGTGTGTGTGTGAAAAATGATAGATCTACCTGATTGAAGCTTAACATATCATATGTTCGATAGATCTATCGTTAACGAGTAATGATAAATCGATTTTCATGATCCATTTTCTCACTGAGATGAAATCACTAACATGAAATCGCTCTGAATCTCTGAGATGAAATCATTGAGATGAATCTCTTAATCGCTCTGATAAGGGTTTAGAGAGGATGGAGAGAGAGAGAGAGAGATAGATATTTATAGAGAGAAAGAGAGACAGTGAAGCTTGCCTTCGTTGGTGCTCGCTACCTCGATTTGAAAATGAACAAGTGGTGGAGCTTCGAAATCACTCTCACAAAGAGAGAGAGAGAGAGAGGGAGAGAGAGAGAGAGCTCTCGATTTGGGTCTTACGCGAATCTCAGATTCAAAATTAGGGTTGGATAAGAAGGGGAGACCCAGCGCGTGAGGCACAACGCATTTGGAGGTGCTTTTAAACGCCTCTTATTATAAAACGTTGTCGTTTTATTAAATAAATATGCGACGTTTTGTAAAACGTCGTTAAATATAAAAAATAGTGACGTTTAAAAATGCGTCGTTAAAAAAATGCCGTCTAAACTCTTTTTTCCTGTAATGATAAAGTAGTCCTCGTGCAATTCCAACAATGATGTTGAAGCGCTTTTCCCAAAGTAGCGGTTTTCTCCTAGTTTGATCTAGATATGGGAGCACCAAAATCCAATTAAAAACTTTATTTGTTTATACTTCCATCATACTTTGACTGTTGGTGTGAAAACCAAATGAAAAGGTAAACCATTTAATTTCATATTATCACTCCTACTTAAAGAAGGAAATTAACAATATTATGAATAAGGAAAAAAGAAAAAAGAAATGTTAAGCAGAATTTCTTTTGGGCAAAAAAGGTTGCACCCAATGCACAAGGGGAATTCTTACTAAGGTCTAAAGTAACCCTAGCTTTCCCAATTCTTTTATGTTTTATAATTTTTTCCTCCATATTCCATAGAAACCAAACAACAAAAATTGATGATATTAGACAAATATTTATGCATATATCTATTAAGGTTGAACAAACCAAATATGAAGGTGTCCAAGCTTTTGTTATGCAGGAACTCATAAATTAGCATCCTTTCTTCTCCTTGAATGCAGCATCCCAGGAGCCTAACATGGTTACGGTGTTGAAGTTTTTCAATCCAATTAATTTCATTCTTAAACTCCTTGAGTCCTTCCCCAGAACCCTGTGAGAGCCTCTTCACAGCTATTTCTTGTCCATCAAGTGATTCACCCTACAAATTATCATGCAAAGCATTAGCAATACTAAAATAGGACAGTAAAGGAGGATGAGGTAGATTTTCATTAAAATATTTTCTCAGATATAAACAAGGAGGAAAAATATAACAATACTATAATCCAAGGAAAACCATCTTGCTCCCTTCAGCAGTCTGTATAGAGGTGCGTGCACACACTACATGTGTGAAATTTAAAATAATTATGACAGTTATTTGAAACAGTTAAGATCTGAGAGCAAGACAGTTATTATGTCTAGGGACAATTTTAGAAACAAAAACTTGTGATATAGACATTCACACCAAGTGAGTTGTGTATTTTATATAATAGTATAGGCGATTCTTTAGCTTGAAATGTAGTATAATGGAGAATTACCTTATAGACAGAGACAAAACCACCTTGTCCTATCTTATTTCCGGAAGAAAATTTGTTAGTAGCAGCAAAAATGGTACCCGGATCAAAAAGAGGTAATTCGAGCTCATTATCTTGACTTTCTTCTTTAGAATCTTTGTAGTAACTGTTTTCCTCTTGAGCTGCTGCGAATTAACTTTGTTAGACTAAGAAAAGAAAATGACAGAAACTTTATGCCCCAACAAATAAGGAATACAAAATATTTTTTTATTTTTTATAAAAACTTATATATATATATATATATATATGGTGGAAGTAAGAATCCCATACCCAAATATCAGTTGGGTACAACAGACTTGAGCTGTTAGATAAAATAAAAATAAATAAATAAATAAATAAAATGGAATGAAAGAGATGTTTTACCTTTAAGTTTTGCCTTTCTTAACTGAGAAATATAATAGCCAGCCGTGGCGGGGAGAATCATCCCCAAAACTGTAGATACCACAACAACGATGATCATCATCATTTTCTTTTTCCTCTGTGCATCAGCAATTGATTCTAGACACTCAACAAAGTTGACAAAATAAGTTATTCTGTCCCATGGTTTCTTGCAATGTATTTTTTATGCTGAATTGAATATTTTATCAATAGATATCTTGATAAGTTTCCATAAAATCAAGACAAAAAATTCTATTTCTACATAATTTTTATGCAAAATGTTCAACCAGGTTGATGTGGGAGTAGCATTTTTTAAATAGAAGGCAAGCTTGATGGGTCTTTGCTTTCAAATGACATGACCCAAATTTGCCACAATACACTACATAATTTTACTGCAATATTTAACATGAAAGTTTTAAATAATGTGAACACACAATGTCAAGTTTTCAACAAATCCCTAAAACCAAGGCAGAACTATATATATTTCCAATGTGAACCTAATAGTTAACATGTACATCACTAGAGTGCATATATATATCCATGCAAAGTTTCAATGCATCAAAACCATAATAGCATTAAGTTGGTCTGACTTAATCCCCCCATCTGATCTGACCATAGTGTGATATATGGAGGTATTGATCTATTTACTTCAGTTGGTTAGGTTACAGTCAAAAAAAGCCACTTACAACAACAGCTGCCAAATAGTTAAGCTCAATAAGACAACTATTACTGTTCAAAACGACAATAAAAATGTGTATGACTATCATATGGTAGTAGTAGTAGTTAAATTTTTTAAATTATCAATTTGTCTTCCCAGTTACTTTTGAATTGATTGGATTTATTTTCAATTTGGTAGTAGTAGTATTTCATTGGCCTAACATCGATTCGGGGCGGTGAACTACCTAAAGCCAGTCCCATCTAATCTAATCACCTAACCTAACCAAGAAGAAAAACAACGCAACCCTCCTCCTTTATTCAAGCCTGGGACAAACAGTGTAAAGATAAAACAATAATCCTATATCATGGGGTATATGTGCATGTTAGTATATAGAATTCAAACCAAAACCAAGAATGACATATTTAGCTTGATTTAACATACAAGGAAACTCTAATTCAACCCCAAGTGGTGATGGTATTTTCACAAAAGCCCCAATTCAACCACAATCATTCTATACGAAAATTCCCTATAATTTTCAAGGGTATCAAAAAAAACACAAAAAACAAAACCCACATCAACCATAACCCAAATTTAATAGCTACATTAATCAAATTATCAAACAAATAGCCTAATCATCAACTAAATAAATACCACATGAAACAACTATATTTCAAATTCATCCCAAGCTAAAGGATTTACTCTAAATTACATAATCATAAACAACTCAAAACAGGGGAGAGAAGCAGCAGAGCAGCAAAGTAGAAGGAAAACCAACCTAGAGAGTGATGAAGGTAAAGCTAAAGGGCCTTTGAAACCCATTTCCATGGCGATCTAGACCTGTTCTTGGACAGAAGAGAAAAGCCTGAATAAACCCATTTCAAATCTTTCTCTTACTTTTCACCATACAGTCAAGATTAGTGTATTCACCCAGAAAAAAAAAAAAAGTTTGCTATGGTGAAAAACGACGAGTGAACGATTTTGAAAGAACTGTATTTGTAACTTTGCAATCCAATCAATTAGTCCCACAATCACGCATTTTGTTTGAAGTAAAGAAGATTATTAAACAAAAATGCTTGGAACCTTAGAGGTGCCACTACTGTCAGTGCTGGTTTTTTTTTTTTTTTTTTCACTTCATTAGAGGTGTGTTTAGAGCCTCTAAATTAGAGAGAATAACTGATTATTAAATTAGGAAAGGTTTGTGGTGTGATCATGCTTTTTTATCTCTTTTTTTTTTGTTTTTTTGGGTAAGTCACTCGTACCTTTATGAGTCTCTTATTTTGAGGTGGGAATTTGGTGTAATAAGATACTAAAAATGAGATATGAGTAGATAGGGTCCAAGTTGTCTTCAATTGGAGATCGAGATTAGATCGCCCAATTCGATTTATGGGCTCATTTTTGGGCCTATTTTCGATAATCTGAATCGTTGAATATATAAAACTCGCCGAGTATTATGTTTCTGTTACAAATCACGTTGATCGGATATCAATAGCTACTTGATCGGATCAGATTATCGAAACGGCTGGACTGGACGGTTCAGTCTTGATCTCCAACCGGAGACAAGCTAGACCAGAGTAGGGTCCAGCATGTCTCCAATTAGAGATCAAGACTAGACCGTTCAGTCTGGCCTGAGGGCCTATTTTTGGGCCCCTTTTTGATAATTCAAACTGTTCAACATGTAGAACTCGTCGAGTACTATATTCTTGTAAAACATGACGTTGATCAGATATCAATAGCTATTTTGATTGGATCAGATTTCTATCAGTCATTTATTTTTTTACAAATCATTTTTTTTATAAAAAACTAATCTGATCAAATAGCTATCGATATACGATCAACGTGATTTTTTACAAGGATATAATATTTGATGAGTTCTACACATTCAACAGTTCAGATTATCGAAACGGGATCCAAAAATGAACCCACGGGCTAGACTGGATAGTCTAGTCTTAATCTCTAACTGGAGACACGCTGGACCAGAGTAGATATATATAGATGTGGTTTATGGGATGCTTCAAGCTCTAGTCTTTTTTGGATAAATTACAAACACATCCTCTAAAGTTTACTTAAATTACAAATTACCCCTATGGTTTTAGAAATTACATTATGCCCGTAAGGTTTCTAATTTCATAACAAATAGGTCATTTTATTAATAAATCATCAAGTTAATTAACAGTTTTT